AGAACAAAAAGCAAGTGCAGGAGGAATTTTGCGGCTGCGGCTTCGTGAACCAAAGCCTCCCTATATAAACAATATTTTATTAGGGTTTTAGGGTAGGCATTGAGGACTGGAGTGCAGGAGAACAAAGAGCAAGTGCAGGAGGAATTTTTTGTTGGCGGCGGCTTCGTGCAAACAAGAAAAGCTGACAGAGCAGGCTGTGCACAAGAGGGGAACGCAGAAGCAAAGAGGACGTGCAAGGAGCTTTTTGCGGCTGCGAGCAAAGAGGAGTTTTATGTGCAGGCTTTTGGTTTCTTTTGTAGAGAGATATTGTGAGGGATTTGAGAGGTTGTGTGAGGGTTTAGATTGAGGGATTGTAAACCCTAGTTGTATTCTCTTCCTCTATTAGTAGATCTCCCCCCTCCTTGCCCCGTGGACGTAGGCAATTTGCCGAACCACGTAAAAATTGGTTGTACTGCTTTTGTGTGATTTGTAATAGCTTTTAGGATCCCTCGACAGGTCAGTCCTAGAACTGATGAGAGGAAGAGCCGATATCTCACTTGGTTGAGATATCCGCTTCAGATTCTTGTCTCCTTGGTGAGACGAGAATTCTTATTGCGATCTGACTCTCTTGTTGTGCTGCTGAAGTGCTGCCGAAATTTCCGCTGCGCGCAACATACTGTAGATCAGGATATCATCAAAGTAAACCATAAAGAATTTCCTATGAATACCTTAAAAACTTGGTTCATCAGCCTCATGAAAGTACTCGGAGTGTTGGACAACCCAAATGGCATTACCATCCACACATACAACCCGTCTCTTGTCTCGAAGGCGGTCTTCCACTCATCACCTGGCCTCACCCTAACCTAATGATATCCACTCCGCATATATATCTTTAAAATCACAGTCGCACCATGTAGTTGATCAGGTAGATCATCAAATCAAGGGATAGGAAACCTGTATTTGATGATGATCTTGTTCACTGCCCTACTATCACTGCACTCACACCAATAACCATCATGTTTCAGCACCAACAAGGCTAGAACAGCACATGGACTCATGCTCTCTCTGATCAACCCCTTCTCCATCAACTTGACGACTTGCCTCTGCAACTCTTCGTACTCCTTCGGGCTCATCCGCTATGCAGCTTTGTTCAAAATAGAAGCACCTGAAACAAGATCAATACAGTGTTGAATGCCCCTCATAATAGGTAATCCTCGTAGAATCTCCTCTGGAGTCACATCAGCAAAATCTTTTAGCACGGATTGCACCTGGTATGGGATAACCGCTTTCTCCCCGTTCTCCTTTATGATCACTAGGGCAAAGGATACTGGAGTTTCTTTGGCAGACTCATTGAAATTTGCTCTCGAGAGTAGACTACTGCTTACATCTTTAGTTTGTCAAATGTCTGTTAGGCTCAATGTAATAGTCAATCCTTCCTTCTTGAAGGTGTATGTGTTCCTGAATTCGTCATGCCTTGTCTTGAGATCAAGCTGCCACGGTCTACCCAAGAGTATATGGCAAGCATCCATCGGTACTACATCACACCACACTTCATCCTTATATTTCTTCCCGATGGAAAATTGCACGAGACATTGCTTTCTAATTTTCATGTCATTCACTTTCTTCAACCATGACAACTTATATGGTTGAGGATGATCTTTTGTCTTCAGAGCCAGTGTCGCCACCATAGTTGTAGAGACCACGTTCTCACAACTTCCTCCATCAATGATCATATTACAGGCCTTTCCCTTCGTCATGCACTTTGTGTGGAAAATGTTATTCTTTAGCGACTGTTCATCTTCTGTTGCAGTCATGTTTAGTAATTGACAAACCACAAGGGCCTCGCCATGATTAGCATAAACAATCTCAGTTTCCTCTTCCCCTTCAACCTGCTCAGCATCCGACTCATCAAATGTCAGATTAATGTCTTCTTCCACTAGCATAACCAATTGTCTATTCGGGCAATCTGAGGCATACTGTCCGAGTCCTTGACACTTGAAATACCACACCTTCTTGGTTTTACTAGACCTTGCTGCTTGGTCTGGTATAGTTTTGTAGGACCCTTGCTATTGTTGGGGTGGTTGCTTTGATAAGAGTTGTGTATCTTCAACTGCTGGTCTTCCCCTTACCCTTGAGTTATTTTTCAACTTTCAGAGGAAGTCTACAGACATCCTCATAAGTTCAGTATTGCTGCAAATAGACCACATTAGAAATCTCCAGGCGGAGACCTCCCAGAAATCGAGCAATGGTTTGTTCATCCTCCTCCACAACATCACACTGCATCCTCAAATGGTCAAACTCATTCATGTATTTCCCTATTGACGTGCCACATTGTGAGAGGCCGTGATAGTCAATAAAAGCTTCCTGCCTATAATGGTCAGGGAGAAACTTCCGCTGCAACAGCTTCTTCATCTTCTCCTACATCTCCACCTTCGCTTTTCCTTCCCTTGATTGCTGTTTCTTAACATGTTCCCACCAGATGGATGCATGTTTTCTCAATTTAATGGCAACCAATTTCACTTTATTACTCTCTGACAGGTCTTTAAGATCAAAAATCCGTTCTACTGTGTTCAACCAATCAATGGACTCATCGGGATTAGCCTTACCTGCAAACTCTGTAATCTCAATCTTCATTTTGATGCCCCGCAAGGGATCATATCGGAATTCTCATTGCACTCCATGGCTATGCCTCCTGTCCGTGAAAGTTGCCCTCTTCTTCACTTTCCTCCCTCGAAATTCAGAATCAGACCCCTCTTCTGTCTGCAACTTGAACAGCGTCAGATGCTGTTGGAGTTTTTGAACCTGCCTTCTGAGATCGTCGTTCTCCACATTGCATAGATCTCGCTGCCATTGGTTCTCGTTGTCCGCCAAATTCCCTCTTCCCTACGCACCACGATGTCCACCACGACCCACCACGATGTCCACCACGACCATGTCCATGAACTTGTTTGGCCATTGGGAAACCAGATGCTCTAGTACCAAATAACGCCAAATCTATATGGAAGAAGACTGCACTAAGAGAACAAGAACAATTGATACAAAAACCACCTCTAAATTGTATCAAGTCGGATACTGGAAGGAACCCTAATTCTAGGCTGCAAAATTTTATTCAATGATGAAAACTGCCTACATAATATTGTCTAGCAACTATTTATACTAGATCCACTTATCAACCCTAAACAAGAGTTAATCTCGACTATACAACTTATTAGATCTGAGATAAAACACTAAAACATCAAATCAAACATAGAAATGACGATTTCACCCTGCAGACAGTCCTGAAATGCACCGAGAGGGTGGTGCTCATGGCAAAGCAATGAGCCCTGCTCGTTTGCCCGTTCCCGGTTGACATCGCAAATTTCGCTTTATTCTGACACAATGACTTTTGATTTCTACTAGACC